TAATTAGGAACCACACAAGGATGTGAATATTAGAATGCATGTCCACTGGAGAGCTCCAATGAGACATACCCTCACAGCTACACAAAATCACAAAGCGAGCTCAGGTTGAACTCAGATTTGTCTGCCTCCAGGGTTATCACGTCATCACCGTACAATGGTCTCTCAGTCATTATGTGGTGCTTTTCCCATCGTAACTTGGAAATAATTAGGGAAAAGGGAAGGATGAGAAAAAAATTCCCTGTGCACATTTCATTTTATTTCTTTATGTCAAGAGAAAAGATGTTTCTGATGTGCTAACTAAACCTCTGGAGGTAAATTAGCAGCATGACTCATTTAGCCATTGCTATCAGACACCATCAGACAAAGAGAAACAGGAAAAAAATAAAGAAGAAAAAAAGGAAAAAAGGGAAAAAAAGAAAAAGGGAGGAAAAAATAAAAGAAGAGAAAAAAGGGGAAAAAAGGAAAATAAAATCCCCTAACTACCACTATTTCTTTGTCTCCTACAGTTCCGTTTTTTTAACTGGTGCTTGAATATATTTTTTCATACCAGATATAGCCAGAGTAGCCTTCAGAGTCATCTTTCTTTAGAATTCTAGTGATTGTGCTCTCCTTTCCTATATTTTTCTTGACTTTTATTTCCATTACCTGAAATCTAATGATAGGACAGATGGCGAGTGAGGCTTCTGCTCATCCAGGCCCCTTCTTATTCACTTCCCCTAAGTTACAGAAATTGTACACACTCATGCTCACAGACACTTGGCAGTGTTTGGTACCCACACTGTATTAGATAGTTTATACATTTCTTGACTACATGATTGTAATACTTCCATACTATAGAGGCCTCAGAAGTGTTTAACCTAATGCTTATAATTCTACTGCAAACTAAGACTAGCCTTAGTTAAAGTAGCCTTACTGAAATGACTTACATGTACCATGTTTAAAATTTTTTGTTAAGTGCTAGTAATTAGCACTTAAATGTTCCCAAAAAGTAACAGGAGCACTAAAGCCAAAGGCACCATCTACATATGAAACAATGAATAAAGGATATGGTGAGGGCTGAATTTCAGCAGAAGTTAGCCAGTGACATGATACATTCTGGCAAACTCAAAGTTTAGAAAATGAGGATATGAAGCAGAATTCTGGCAAAGTTAGGTAGTATTTGACAATTTTTCAAGTGTGAAAGACATTAATGGAAGTGACGTATGGACCAACTTCAAAACTTTGAGAAAATTTTGAGCTTTATTAATGTGTCACATTAGAAATACTAACAATTTTGCTCTAATTTTTATGCACTTAGCTTTAGTACCCCTTGAAATTACAGAAATATAGTTTTCTCTATTCATTTTCCTCTCTCTAACATTAATATTCCCATGGTGTCACTAATTCTAGTAATCACATAGATTCATATTTTAATCTATGACCTTTGCATGTCAAGATCATGCAATATGCTTCACGAAATAGTAATTATCTGACATTGAAATCTGATGCTACACATTTAGTTTGTAGGATTGGTGATTGTTTCTAATAAAGAAATTAACATTGTAGTTTTCCCTCTCTGTATAACACTGAGTTAATCAAATACTTCACTTAGTCTCCTGTGTTGCAGATCTAAAATTTACATTTGTAAACAGAATAATGTATTCCTTCCTCTCTATTCCCAGCTCTGAGAGTACTCCTGGCACTTGTTAGGAAGTTAGCAACATTTGAGGATCAATTTTTTGTTGTTGTCATTTGAAGAGCTTGTTTAATGTCCCTGGAAATCAATTCAATCCTAGGAAAAAGACAAAGGATCTACACACTTCATAGATGGTCCAGTTACGTTGTATATGATCCAGACAATTCCAATATTAAATTGGGAAATGAACCACATAACCTTTCTTGATCATACGCAACTTGGTTTTTGGAAAAGCCAGAGAGAAAACAAAATTTGCTTATCCTTGAAGCCATTCTGTGGCTATCAGTTAGCTCCTTCGACATGAGATAGTATTGACTATAATCGGCACTGCCTAAATTGTAATTATGCGAGTTGACTTTGTGATCTTCCTTCTGCTGGTAACACCTGGCAAACAGATATGCTACAAGCTTAAATTCCCAAGAAACTGAGAAATTCAGTAAAGGCAGAAAGCTATGATTGCCGTTATAAGGGACAATTGAATCTCTTTGGTTGAGACTAAAAAATTTCATCAGTCACTTTGACAGATATGTAGTGACAGACAAAAAGGTTATAAATAAAGGCCAATCAACCAATCTATCAGAGATTTATGTCCATGGGAAACCTGTTAAAATATCCTCTCTCTGGAACATACAACTTTAGGAAACTAAGAGTTTTCCTGGATCTATTTGTCAATTTATTAAAAATATTTAAAGATTTCTGCTTTTGTATCTTTGCCTCCAGATGCTAAAATGACACTCTGACTATAGATTTTTCTCCTAAGGTAATTAGTGACAGGTGAATTTTTTTTTATAAATATATCTAGTAAATGTTTCCTTCAACTCTAAACTTTGTTATTTTAAAAAGTAGTTCTGAATGACTTCTTAAAAAAAAATCCCTAACACCTTCAATCTCTCATGACAAATTACATTTTAACATAGTTTTAAAGATATATTTCACTTTTTCTTTACAAACTTCTTGATCTTTTTGATTCCTCACTTAGATGAAGTTTTGAGATTTTAAAAATTTTACCTTCTAAGTTTACTCTGATCTGCTGTCATCAATAAGAATGAAGATAATATTTTATCACATTTCATTCAAAGTGTGTCAACATGGCATTGGCACATTTTGATTTCTGAATTAAACATTAGTGATAAGTAAATTGCTGTTCTTCCAGAAACACATACGCATGAGCTCAGGGCAGAACCCTCTTCTTTCGCCTTGTCCTCTGACCACATTCCCATTCCCATTCCCTTCCTGTTTCATTCCACCTGGAGGTGAAATCTCTAGTTTCCCTCCTACCCCAACGTGTGCTCCTTGACCATGGTCTATTCCTCCTTTTTAGATTTCATCATGTTAATTTAAGTCTGTGTCTGCTGGTTGTCTACAGCCTCCACAAGAGCAGGAGAAGTTCCATACACATCAACTGCCTGGAGGAACAGATGTTTTAAAAAAATGTATTTACCTCCTGCGACCAACACTGGGGAGGGTGGGATAAAATAACAAAATATTTCTTTAAGACACTTCTTTTATGTTTCCTATTACATGTCTCTTCAGACAAGCTGGGATGCAAATTAATGAGGCAGATGTGACATCATCCCGTTGTTTCTTTCTTCACTGAAAAGCCTGGCTCTCCAGGAGGAAAATGGCTGATTAAGGAATTTGGCTACCTGACAGATTAAGATTAATTGCACAAAATGCAAAGTGTTTGTTACCAGGCAAACAGGCTTCCTCAGGCAATGGTTTATTTTACATGAAGCTAGGAAAAATTGTGTTGTTTAGATTTTTTTTTTCAATAGACAGTGAACAAAGGGATAATCCTTTATTAAATCAAAAGCGAAAATTCCCTGAGAACAGTTTCCTAATAGTCTGCTTTCTATAAAACAGTCTTTCTCTAACTGATAAGCTATTATTTTTTAAACTCTATGGCTACTATTTAGTTTTTATTAATAGGTGATCACTTCCCATCTTAATGTTAAAATGATTACAGTGCTCTGAGGAAATCTCTCTATACTTCATCATTATTGCTATTTTTAAAATCTCAGTCTTGAAAGGATAGTGGTTTAAATAACTTTGCCATTTATTTGGGAGTAATGAATATAATAAGACGGGTCATTCTCTGAACAGGCAAACATGATTATCTTCACATGCATTTTCAAACTTCTTTTCAAATGATGGAATTGCTCTCTGATCAGGCTGTTATATTTCAATCTTAAGAGAATATTGTCCACTTTTTATTCAGGTCAGTACTGAGTTGCTGAACTCAGATGCAGAAAATAACTAAGTTTGTGACTTGCCCTCTTAACATACTGGACAGTGTGTCAAAGTAAGTTTTGGGAAGAATTTCAGTTTTCCAATCTCATTATACATTTTGCTCCACTTGGGAGAAGAAATCTCCAGACACAGTGGATTTATGATTTTAGTCATCTGCTTTTGGAGTTCCCCGAAGACCTGCAGGCTATTTCTTTGCCCATCAGGAGGAACAGCAGGTTTCCATCATTTCACTTACAAAAGAAAACAAATTCGTCTATGTCAAAATAACTGACCAGTGCTCCTCAAGATTGCCAAGGTCAGGAAAGACACAGAAAGCCTCAGGAACTACACAGATTAGAGGGGATTAAATGCAAGATGGGATCCTGGAACCAAAAAAAAAAAAAAAAAAAAAAAAATTCTCAGTAGAAATTTTCATTAGAAAAACCATTGAAATTAGAGTAAATTCTGTGGTTAATAGCATAATACAGATGATAATTTCTGGTTTTTATAATTGTACAATGGCTATGTTAGATCTTCACATTAGGAAAAGCTGAGTGAGGGAATACAAGAACTCTATGATCTTGTCACTTTAGTGTAAGTTGTAAATTCATTCAAAATTTAAGGTTGAAAATATTTTTTAAAAATGAAGCATAGGATCTTCTTTCTTAAAATGGGTATTTCTCAATCTTGTAATGACGTATCAAAAATTTTTTAAGTTACTCTATATTATTTTCTAAAATGCTAAAATCATAACATAAAGTTTTACCTTACTCTTCATGCAAATATTTTATTTACCAGAATGTATTATTTGGAGGAGATCTTATTCAGCAATGCAACATAAAATGATTAGTGGACTTTATTCTTTGTTTTTATTTCAGACATTACTGAAAATCCAGTTCCAAACATGCTGAAAAACATGGACTTGTCATTCTTAAAGTTAGTTCATTCAATACAGAATATACTAGAAGCCAAGAAAAAAAGTATAAAGACTCTTAGGCCTCTGACTGTCTCCTTAAACTTCTCTCAGTAAGACAAGGGAGAGCGGGTAGTAACTGGCCAGTCGGCTGAGCAACACTTCCTCAAGGAAGAAAGCTGGACGGGCTCTCCCGCTGACGGTGAGTCTCACCAGGGACTGGCTGCTAAGAATTCTTATTCCTCACAGTGTAGCGGTAAGGAAATTGCCTAATTAATCCTCCAGACTTGAGAATCAGCACAGATCTGAAATCCTGCATTTGAGAACCACTAAGACCTTAGAGAAGATGCTCGCTCTGTTCAGGGATTAGTAACTTTGTCTATAAAAAAGCATAAAGCAGATATTTTAGGCTTATAAGCTTTAGGGTTTCTTTCACAATGCCTCATGCCTGCCATTGTCTACTAAAAGTAATCACAGACAATAAGAAAACAAACAAGCAGAGTTGTGTTCGAGTAAAACTTTATTTACAAAAGCATGTGATGGACTGAT